ATATATAAAACGAGGGTAATGTAAGGTCCCTAACAAATTAAAAATTTTTTTTAAATTTAAGATTAACAGTTATAATTGTATAATATATATTTACGGGTTACAAAATGATGCTATATGTTTATAACTTGGAATGAGTGACTGGAGATAAACTTTTATTAAAAGTACTCATCACACAGAAAAAACATTTTCAAAGTGGAATAAAGAAAAGTCGTTTTCATGATGGCTGCTTTAATTAGAAACCCATGGTTTTCTATGTAGTCTCTTTAAGAGATCCAATATCCAAAAATAATAACTTGTGATGATTGCTTTTCTTAAAGTGCATTTTAAAATAAAGGTAGAGTTCATCCTAATTTTTGCCCATGGTGTAAAATATTTCACATGAGGAAATTATACACACACACACACACACACACACACACGGTATGTTTATTGAACGGACATTTGTTTTTGTGTAGAAGTTTTAATATTTTAAGGGATAAGTGGAATGTTAAGAACAGGCAGAACCATTGGCATTATGGGAAGAAAGCTATGTTATTACAGGCAACTTTTCATTTAAAACAGCTTAAAATACATCCCTCTAACACTGTGGCATTGTTTTAGGTCTCCAGGCAGCTTTGTAGGGGAAGCCAGGAGTAAAGTAAGGGAGTCTGTGGAATTTTTCCTTTTTAGGAAATTTAATTTTACCTAACGGCCATGTTGCTTTAATAAGAAACATGAAAAGGAAGTCAGGCCTTTTGAACGATCCTCTTAAGTGAAGCTTTGCCATATTGTCCCACTAACATGAAAACAGGATCATGGACAGAGAATTCTGAGGTGTGACGTACATTGTGTCATTTCATCAATGAGGAATTACTCTCTGGTTTCACCACAGGAGCCGCAAACATGAACGTGCTGCTTTTGGCTTAGTAAGACCAGGACACTCTCAGGTCCAATCTCATTGGCACAGCAAGGTGGGGTCACGGCAGGAAGTTGAAGAGCCCTTAGACTCTGCTTCCCCCAGGTCTGTCTCATAAGTCCACTTGAAGGGTCTCCAAGTTTCCAGAAACTTCCTCTGGGCACTTGTCTACAGCACAACACTGCACATGCAAAGTCACTCAGAAAGAACTGGCCAACCCCTTGCCTTATTTTGTAGATACAAAAATGCATACTTTTCTCTGACTTAGTCATTGCTTATGATAGTTTATTCTCATCTTCCCTATTCCCTGCCCCCCAAAAAGTTACAAAATCGATTGTGTGTCTGAGAGTTGAGAAATTTTGTATGTGTTTTGTATAATAGCAATACAGGTCAAATTCTATTCAGTGGAACTGATCTTTGAAATGAATTTCTACTTAAAATAGTAAATTATTAGAAGTGATATTCCCAAAATCATAGATTTAAAAAAGCTGATGTTCACACTCTTGTAAATTAGTATTTGTAAAAGATGTCATCTGAATTTAATAAAAAAGGGAAAAAGAAAGCATACTCAGATCCCTCATTCTTGCTCCTGACACCTAGGTCTGTTTGTGCTGGTGGTGTGAGGTCTGAGAAGTGTAGATATTAAAATATGTATAAATGACTCTCTATTTTTTTTTTTTGAGAAGGGGAAGATAGGAGAGTTATGAAAATACATTTCAAATGGATCCAAGATAGGGAGACAAATGAAAAGATACTACAGAAGAATGAGAAGGAATCAGGATAAATGTTTCTAAATCTTTAAGTAGGGAAGATCTTTCTTAACATGGCACAAAACCTAAATACTACAAAGAAAAATATTCATAAATTTTGTTGCATAAAATTTTATAACATTTGTATTTCAAAAGAAGATTTAATGTCAACCAAGAAAATATTACAAGTGAGTAATTTTTTTTTTTTTTTTGACAGAGTCTTGCTTTGTTGCCTGGGCTAGAGTGCTGTGGAGTCAGCCTCACTCACAGCAACCTCAAACTCCTGGGCTCTAGCCATCCTTCTGCCTCAGCCTCCCAAGTAGCTAGGACTATAGGCATGAGCCACCGCACCCTGCCACATGTGGATAAATTTTAATACAAAAATATCCCCCTCCAATGATCATGCATTAATAAAAAACCCAATGGCCCATGAAAGAAACCAAAGCAGGAGTTGGATATGCATGGGAAGTTTACATAAAAGAAAATAGAAATGATCAATAGGTACACACACCCATGTTAAGTCTTAATCTAACTCACAACTTAAAGAAATGAAAACAAAGCTGAGATAGGAGGATCACTTGAGGCCAGGAGTTCAAGACAGCCTGGACAATATAGCAAGATCTCCATCTCTACAAAAAATAATAAAAACAAAATTGACAGCCAGTTGTGGTGGCATGCACCTATAGTCTCAGCTCCTTGGAAGACAGAGGTAGGAGGATCACTCCAGCCTGAGTAACAGAGTGAGACCCTGTCTCTATATAAAAAAAAGAAAGAAAGATGGAAAAGAAGTAAAAGAAAAGAAAGGAAAAAAAGAAAAGAAAAGAAAGAAGGAAGGAAAGCAGATGACTGGGAAATTCTATTATTTAATCACTAGAAATGGATAAGTTTAAAAAAATATATGGCAACATCCGGTGTGAAACCAGGTGAAGTTGATTGATAACCATAACTCATAACTCATCAGTTCCACTAATAGAATTTTATCATGTAGAAAACCTGTGAAAAAATGAGCACTGCAGTCTTGCTTTTAAAGGAGAAATTTAACTAAATATTGGTTCATCAAGGAAATGGAGCACTGCACAACTATGAAATAAGGCAGAACTATATTTATTGACAAGAATAATGCAATTATATATTATTAGGTATAAAAAGCAAACATGACGCAGTGCGTACAATCACATTATGTATTATATATAATTACATATAATATGTAATGTTATAAGTCATATAATTACAATAGAAAACAACAGCATATATGTGTATATATACATGTGTGTATATAGATATGTATATGTGTATATACATATGTGTATGTATATGTGTACATATGTGTATATAGATATATGCCCACATGCATGCCTATATGTATGGAGAAAATATCTCCAGAATCTGCAAGCTGGCAGTAACACTACCTGTTAATGAGAAAGGAAGGCTTTCACCTTGTCCTTTATATCTGTCTCGTTTGAATTGTCGAATGCCAGCATATGCATGTGGTCACATATCAAAGAGTTCTAATGAGGTTGTAGTGACAGGTAATTGTTGAACACCCCTTTGCACCCCAACCTAGCACTATGCTGAGAAGCAGCCTTTTTTAAAAAACTATTTCTGTATGTACTTTCTTAGGTAGTTAATAAATGATAATTGAATAATAGCTTAATATATTTTGCTTGATTTATCATCTGTGGCCATGTCTTTCCTTGTTGTGCAACCTTCAAATTGGCCTTTCCCTGCCTCAATTTCTTCATTTTAAAATGGGAATAAAGGTAGTACCTGGTTGAGATGATATATTTATAAGGTTATAATGGGGTTTAAATGACCTAGTATGGGTCATGCCCTTAGAACAGTGTGTTATATGTGGTTAGCATGTATGGTGTGTTAATGATGATGATTTCAAACTATTAATATGAACAACTTTCATTACTTCTGCTGCCTCCCTGCCTCCATGGATGGCAGTTAAGCTGTGAGTTCTGGTCCTGCCCTTGGTTGGAGGCAGTTCCCAAACAGAGCCTCCTTTGCTATACATGGCGTCCCACCTCTAAGAAGAGGACATCACACCTCCGTTTGGGCATTGCCTGCCTTTACTCACATCCATTTCCTGCACGTCTGACTTCTTGAACCCTTCAGAGAATTCCAGGAGTCCAATGTCCTCTCTGACTATGGTGTCAACGTCTGTATATTTTTTGCTCCAAACACAGTCAGCTGTGTCTTCTCCTCTCCCCACCCTCATTCACCTTCTCTTGTATTCATAATGTGGGGGCCACAGTCTTCATCTAATAGTGCCCATCTTGTGTAGGAGCTCTCTCATGTAGACAAAGCTAAAATAAAATGCCCACTGTCTGTAATACTTCTGATCCACATGTTGGATATTATCAATGTAAATATGCAAAACTACTATTGAAAGTTTTAATACATTTTTAAGCTACAGTACACAAAAGGAAGATGTTCCTATTTTATTGAATTTGAACTAACCACATTGAAGGGTTTTGGATGCACCTGCTTGTCTTTGGGCCAGTTTCTCAAATTTTCTGTGCCTCAGTTTTCTCACCAATAAATTGGTGATAATGATGATCGTGATGATGGTGATGATGATGATGGTAAATAAAGTGAATATAATAATATCCCCCAGCAAAGGGTTTAAGTGTCTAGATGATATGAGAGTTTGTATCATCGTTAATATTATAGTAGATGTTCAACAAATGATACCCGTTATTAAGGTAATGATGAGGGTGTTGATCACAACTATATTATTAATATTTTTGTGCACTGCAAAAAATCTTACTTTAGTTGTTTATGATACCAAAATGTCTATGTCGTTAGCTCATTATCTGTTCTGTATGTTAGATAAAATATAGAGTTTTCAAGGGGGAGGGCATAACTCTAACCCTTCTTAGGGAGAGGCAAAGATATACAATGTAACCAAAATGTCAAAAAAAAATCAAAACAAAACTTTTTATCGGGTGGTGGGCAGGCGGTAGGGGGAGGAGGAGAGGGGTGTATGCTTCCATAACGTGTGTGGTGCACACCACTGGGGGATTGGACACATCGGGGGAAGGGGGGGGCAGGGGCAATATTTGTAACCCTAACAATATTTGTACCTCCATACTATGATGAAATAAATAAATATAAAAAAATAGAGAGTTTTCAAAATATTAGTGTCTACATAAACGATTTAATTTTAATTGGATACTTACTGGTGTGCTCAGATAGCTACGTTCTCCAGTGTCCAGACTGAATAAAATGCCCACTGGTTCTCATGGCAGATCCCCACGCCCACCCCTGCGGGACGGGCTTGCCTTGGCTGGCGTCTCTAGTCCTAGGGAAAGCTGCCTTTCTGTTGACCGTTTGGTGTGTGTTTCCAGCGCCTGCATTGGGGCCCAGGACCCTTACTGCGGCTGGGACGTGGTGATGAAGACGTGCACCAGCCTGGAGGAGAGCCTCAGCATGACGCAGTGGGAGCAGAGCATCTCCACCTGTCCGGTGAGCGCCCCTGCCCGCTGCAGCCTCTGCAAACACTGCCCCGGGGGAGCCCCACTCTCTGCCCCCCCTCGCCCACACTGCCTGCCATCTGTGCCTCTTCAGATCAGAACCTATCCTGCAAACCTACCCTGTGTTTTCTAAACTCCTTTGGTTTTTTGCTCACGTGAGGGTCATGCTGTTGCTCTTACAGGCTTTTTGTCTGAAGAGCAATATGTCTTTGCACTCGCTTGGTTTTCTCTCGATTCCTTTATTCTACTCGGGATTTAATTTTTTAAATACCCCAGATTTTACAAAGTGTGGCAGTAGAATAAAAAACTGGAGTTTCTTTTCATACAAATTTATTTATTTGGATTTTTTTATATTTCAAATTATTGATATATTCAAAGAGTAATTTTAATCTCTATAATTTTTGCTAACCGTGTCAAGTCACACTCAACAGCCGAGTGCAAAGGGTTAAGAGAAGACAGTGCTGGTTTGTTAATGTAGCGCACTGTCTCTGTTTTATTCTGGGATTATTTTTCCCTCCAGAGTTTGGTGTGGACAGTTGTGCCCCTTATAGCACTAATAAAATGGGAACTTCCACACCCATAAATTTCCTTTGGGAGCTATCATTCCAGAAGCCAACATAAGGGAAGATTTGAAAAGAATAAACTAAAGGATATTACTTTGACCCCATGTGGGGCAGCCTTGTAGATCCCGCTCAGGGTCACAGGGAGGGCTGGGAGAAACAGCCTGGAGTATATTCCCACACCGAACCCTGTGCAATGAGGGGAAACTTGCCTGTATTTAGGGCCAGACTCTGGATCCAAGAAAAACAGATTGCACAGTTTCCTTTGCTAATGTATTTTCTTGGGTCCTCACTTGTCATAACCAGTATTTGGGGGATTTTTTTTTGTTTGCTTTGTATTTCATTTTTGTGGTTTTTGTGATTTTGTCTTTATTACCCTCATCCAGTAATCTTCGTTCTGGTAGAACACGAGCACCAGCTATTAACTTCCACATAATTGAAAGCAATCGTTAAGTCGCATTGCCATTGGCTAGTGTGTGCCTGTCGGTTCAGACATCTCCCTAGAAGGCAGAGGTTCGGCACGCTGTGCGACAACCTTGCTGTTTCTGCCTGAGGCACCTCAATGGTGGTCAGTCTGCTTCCTACCGAGGAAGCTGCTCCTTTGGTTACCTAAACTGTGTCTTACCTAAGCCTACCCTTCAACCTGAAAGTAGGAAGGCTACTCAGTGTGTCCCCACATGTTGGCACCAGATCCACAACCTTCACTGCCAGAATGTGCCTTGTCACAATCAGACCCTGAAAATCTTTCCTGTACAATTAGCTGTCAGTCTTGTTGGTTATGTAACTTCTGCTTTATAATTTCAGAAGCAAACCTTTCTGCAGCATTTTCTTAAAACATGTTCTTTAAAATGGTTAGACAAACGCCATTGTTTGTGCTAAGTCCCTTCTCATTTCTGAACAACACTTTAAGAGCACAGAGGTGCTCACCTAAAATTCTTTGCAGCTGGAGAAGGCACAGCATGTAGTATCTGAAATGTAGCTCCAATGTACATATGTGTACTTTGGAAGAATCAGCACGTCTTCTTGAAGATCTTTGATCTTGAATTTTTAATTTTTTTTTAAATTTCAGAATATTATGGGGTTACAAATGTTTAGGTTACATTTATTGCCTTTGCCCTGCCTGAGTCATAGCTACGAGTGTGTCCATCCCTCAAACAGTGCACACTGCACCCATTAGGTGTGAATATACCCATCCTCTCATCTCCCCTTCCACCTGCCCAACACCAGACGGATGTTACTACTATATATGCACATAAGTGTTGATCAGTTAATACCAACTAGCAATCAGACCAGAGAAGGACATCTAAGGACATCCAAATGGGGGCAGAAGAGGTCAAACTATCGCTCTTCACTGACTTCATATGATCTTGCATTTTTAATGAATAAAAAAAAAAGAAGAGGAACATAGCTGTTCTTCACAAGCAAGAAGGTCATTGTCTAGGACCCAGGGTTGTGTTAGTATATATCTGAGGGATGCTAATTATGCAATGGGAAATACACACTCAACCACTTGCTTTATACCAGAATGTGTTAAAAAATGGAGGGATCCAGTATTTAAGAAGCGATAAGAAGGTTGTCGCTAAAGTTGTTTCCTGCTGGTGATAGGACAATTTTTAACAAAATCTGTTAAAAACTCAAGTAAGGTCAGAGGGCAACAGGGACCTGGCCTGGTGTCGGGCTGCCCCCTTCCACCGTCCATGGCTGAGAAGTGATCTCTGGGTCTCTGTCAGCAGAAAAGGAACAGCACGGTCTGTTCTTCTGATATGCGGTAATTTCGTTACACAAAACCCTCCCTTCCTTCTTACCCATAGTTTTTTGTCACACATCAAAACACACTTTTGATAAGTTAGGAATATAAATAGAAGCCAACAAAAGAAAATAAGTTATGTCATTTTGAGCAAAACACAGGAAAGGAAGCCATATATTTTTCTGATGTATAAAACTACCATATAGAAAATGGAAGATATATTATCAAACTACTTTAATTGTATATCCCTTTCTAGAAATCTATCTCTTAGAAAGACATGAGATGAAAATTATCGGCTTTAATGTAGAGCAGTCTAAACTTAGAGAGGCATTTTTAAAAACTATTAAAAATATAATTTGCTTCCATGTTATTTTTCATTTTTTTTCTACTGAAATAGAATAATGGCTTAATTTTCTTGGCCAAATCTACCATATTTCATCATTTCTGATAAGCTATTGGTTGCTAAGTGTGCCACTGCTTTATGTGTGAAGGAAAAGCAAGCTGCTGCCATGGATTGCAAAATGCCAACTGATTTCAGAGATGAAATATATAAAATCTTGTGATCAATTAATACTTTTATTTCTTTACCTATATTGACATGCATAGGCAAATAGAAGTATATCTCTTTATCAAAAAATTAACTTTTATAACCTGAAGGATTTTTGAATGGGACCATGCATCTTAAATCCCATGTAAAATTGCAAGTTGAATAATAAAAGAGAGGAGATCCTGTTTCATTGAGCTCACCAAGAGGTAGACGAATGTTGGTGATGATGAGTCAGCCTCAGACCCTCTTTTGTGACCTTTGCATGTAAATCTTCACAAACCTTGCACCAATGACAAAGAACAACTGAGTTCCCCAAAGTTAGTTCCAGTGAAACCTCACACAGTGGCTGTGATTTATGGCTGTCTTAGACCATTTGTGCTGCTATAACAGAATGCCTGAGGCTGGGTGCCCTAAAAGTAACAGAAATTTATTTCTTACAGTTCTGGAGGTTACAAGTGCAAGATCAAGGCACTGGCATTTGTTCTTGTGAGGGTCACCTTGCTACATCCTCACATGATATAGAAGGTAGAATAGCAAGAGAGAACCACTCCCTTCCTCAAGACCCTTGATACGGGTACTCAGTCCCATTCCAGAGGCAGGAGCCCTCATGGTCTAATCACCTCTTAAAGTTCCCACTTCTTAATACTATTACATTGTCAAGAGCTAATGGGCACATTTAGAGAGAAACATTCAAGCCATAGCAGTAGCTTAGATCCTCTGCTCCCTAGAGAGTTTGAATTGGAGATGAGACCCTCAGGAAATCTTCATAGGGATTTAGGGACTTAAAGAAGACTGATTTTCCACTAGAAGATTCCCACTTAAAAATGTTTATGGTTTTCTATAGTCCAGAAGACAGGGCAGTCGTTTACTGACATATTGATTAACAGTCTGTTTGCTTATAAAATTGTAATTGAAAACATTACTCTCAGTTTAAGAGCTTTGAAGTGCTTGAGTAAGATCTAAATTGGCATATCTAAACTGATTAAAATAATATATATGTCCAACAAAGCTTGTAATGTTGTTTAGCAAGGGTAGCATAGTCTTAAGAATCTATGTGGGCTTTGTTTATGCACGAATGCCATCCATATCCTTTGTGGTACATGGTTACCAGGATACCATATCATAAAATGAGCACCTAATCCAAAATATATCATCCAATAACTAGCAGGATATGTAGATCAAATAAATAAGGGTCTCTCAATAACAAGATTCTTCTTTTCTCGGGGCCAGTGTGTAATTAGCATTTTTAGAGTGAAAGAGGACTTTTGCAAGCATAGAGTCAAGTATAAAGCCTTCATTTAGATGACAACACCATAGACTGGGGGCTAAAGTGTTTACCCAATGTTCTAAAACTGCATTGTGAAAGAAACCCAATATTTTTGACATTATTCCTAATCTACAAGATAGTGCCATTCCCAGCTCTCAACATCTCCACAAAGCAGTGGCTGATGGGTGGACCAACATCCCAATCATCAGTGACAACACTCAGATGATGCAGATGATGCTCAGAGAGAAGGCAAGGCATTGTTTCTGAATGTTGTGATAGAATCTACTGTAAGAAAAAGGAAAGGGAACGAAGGTTAAATAACGTATCTAGACCATGTGCTCACTGCCATGTTAGGCAGCTTTCAATGGACTATCACACTTAATGCCATGGTGACCCCTAGGGGAAGAATTTATTGTTTCTATTGCATAGATGAAAGGTGTGGGGCTCAGAGGCATTAAATAAAGATTGTCCCTATTCTTGGGTGAATCTGAAAGGATTCACCCATCCTATCAGAGACCACACAACACCTCAACTTGGTACTCTTTGGAGGGGCTGTCGTCCTGTGTAATTCATTTATAAATAGGGTTAAGGATGGTAGTAAGTCGATGTACTAACCTGAGACAAGCCTTCCTGAAGAGCATATCCAAAACTCTGTTTTGTTACAATTTCTGCCAAAAGGCCCATGAAATTCGAAAACAAATACAGGAAAATATTTTAACTTCTGAAACAATATCTGAATAGAAAATATAAGACTTCCCTTTAGCTGTACGAGAATATTGGTTGGAGTAAAGTGATGATCTAAAGGTGTGCTCTGGGGACCTCTCAATTCACCAAATGCATCCACCTCCTGGGTGAGTTGAGAATTAATGAATTAAACATGAACGGATGAAATTTAGGGTTATGGATCACACTTGTTAACAAAAATTGCACCTTCCTTGGCTAGCGGCTGGAAAACCATTATTTCCTGGGCTAAGGGAAATTTGCTGTCACATGGTTGGGGGGTAAAATTATATGAAGCTTTCTTTGAGACTCTCATCCAAGAGGGATCTAGAAATCACATTACAGAACAAAGTGGCCAAGATCACAGGGTCAGGACTCGGCTTATTTGGACTGATTCTTGAGTCTGTTATCAATACAACTAGAGTGATCTTGAGAAAATTGCTTATCCCATCTGAATCTGTTTTCCAATCTGAAAAATGGGATGTAAACACTAGGGATGTGGTAAAGATTCAAGGAGTTAATACCTATAAAGTGCAAAGTGCAATGTCTGGTATACATGAAACTATTGATACAAGGTATATGCTTTACTATGGTTTAATATTTAATAGTATAAAACACATACCCTATATAGAAAGTCATTTGGCAAAAATCCAAAAGATAGCACAACTACAGAGAATTTATTCTAGATAGCTTTATTTCTGGTGTCTGCTTAAGAAGAGATAAGAAAATATAAATATACCTATTTGGATGAAAATGCAAAGCTGCAGAACTTACACCATTATTCATGGTTCTATTTCCTAGGCAGATTTTCAAACTAATATACTCGGGCAAAATGAGCACATGGTTAAATGCAGCACAGGGAGCCCTCACCCAAATCCTCACGTGCTTTCCTGAGGATTGCAAGTTCTTCTTGCTCCCAAATGTGACTGAACCAACTGCAGTGGCCCTCAAAGACTGCAGCTACCCCAGCCCTCGCCAAAAGCTAAAGCCCACATTCTCATCCTGCAAAAGGACTATCACTATGTCCTCTCACTAGTGATTTGCCCAATGCAGTTCTCTTCCCTTCTCATGTTTCATTGCGATTACTGTTTCGTGTTATCTGCCTCATCCTCTTTATTCTTCCATGAGCCGTCACTTAGTTCAAGTTCTTCCCCTCCTTTCCTGTGTCATTCCTTCCTCTTTTTTCTTGTGTTAATGATAAGACAGCTAATCTTTTGCCCATCCATGTATTTGGAAAGAGAAGACTTACAACATCTCTTGGCCTAGGACCCTGTTATTTCCTGCCAGACCAAAGAGGGGAAATACACCCACACACATACACACACACACACACACACACACATGCCCATGGGATGTCTATTACAAACATCTCTATTAAGGGCCTGACCTTCCCCACATCCATACTGTTCCTCCTTGCTATCTTGTTGTCTTGGGGTCAGCCAATAGGAGGCAAATCAGGAGGAGTGAGGCTGGGGTCTCTCCCCCTTGTCCTTCTTCAGTTCAGGATGGCTCCAGCAAACAGTCCCGCCCCCCATCTGCAGGCTTAGGAGAGTCACAGCCCCCCTGGGGGCTTCAGCACCCCTCCATGGTTTTCTTAACCCACCTCTGCCCGGAGAACCTTCAACACACTGTCATCAAAATCCTCCAGACTGTGGCTTCTTTTTCCTGCCAGGGTCAGGGCAGATGTGCATATGTAAAACACAGATACTTCATCTGTGGGACCCCACCTATGCCATGGAGCAGCCTTATTTTTGTGTTATTTTATGCTTTGTAACTTGTGGGGCTTCCTTTTCCTGAATGTAACATTCTAGAGGCTTATGGCTCCTTCTCTCCAACAATGGACTGGACCGGGGTTCATTCTACAAAAAAACAGAACTATAGAAGGAGGGGAGGTATTTTATGTACAATGTTAGCATCCACATAAAGCATTTACGTGCATGTTGATAGTCTTAGTAAATGTCCTCATTGTTTTTTCATGTTATTTTGCTTTTAAAATTGACTTATTTTTAAGCTCCTTAAATTTCTGCAGCATCTGGATGAACTGTGGCACATTTTATTAACGTGTGTCTGCAGCGTTAGCAGGGAGAACGGCCTGCGTACACGTCACACGCAGCAGCCCCGTGTACCCACCAGCATGGTCCAGCCCAGTGCTCCAAAATCCCTTCCTTCCACAGTCCACCCCTTCACCAACAGAGAGCTTGGCAGGCAAGAAACTCTTTGTATTCCTGTACAAATCCAGCCAGTGAGCCAAACCTGCAAGCAATTTGCAAAGAAAAATAACATGTTTTCAATGTGGCAATGCCCCAAACAGCAGCAGAAAACCCCTTTCTCTTCTCATCCCTAGTGAGAATTCTTGTCCCCAATTTCCTTTTTTCGGCAAAAGACCCCCCTCCATGTCAGAGGCAGGTGGGAAGACTACGGATCTGTGGCATGTGGGAACAGAGTTCCTGATCGTCCAGATCTGGATATTGTCTGACGTGGGGGTGTCACTTGTGAGCCACGGGAAAGGCACGTGGTACCTTACCTGTGTTTGTAAAACCAAATGGGAACTTGGCATTATTTACGCATGACCCACCTAACACGTTGACTTTCTGTTAGGGCCTCATGCCAACCACTTGACAGCATTCAGGTGGCATTTTCTCTTGTCACTCCTCTTTCCCCTGGAGAAGTCTCCCCTGGAGGTCAGGGAGGGGTGGGGTCAGCCCCTGAGGGCCCAGCCCTGGAGGAGCAGCTCATTCTACAGGTTCCCCATGGCAACCTCCACCCTGCCCCAGACTCATAGCACAGCAAGTTGGAACAGTGGCAGTCACGGTCAGTACGAACAAACACAGTAGTATGTGCCTATATTGTGTAGCTATCATACAAACATTCTGTCTGGTCATGATTATGCCTTGATGCTGGCTCCATGAACAAGAGACTTGTGCTTTTAATGGCGAAAACAATAATAGCAGTGTTTGTGCAGCAGGCAGGAATTTGAGTGTAAAAGCATGTGAGAATTTGTTGGGACAGGTACAGTGTTAGTTCACAGCACAAGTAACTGCTGATGCCGTACCCACTGACACAGGATTTCTTTGGCCAGAAGCAAGAGAGAGGTCTGGTAACAGAGATGAAAGAATATTGAAAATCTCAGGGAACAGGATCTTTGTTTCTTTCACAAGAGAATCTGCGTGGTTAATGTCTTGTTTCATGCAAGGCTAGGTTCTCCAAGTAAAAACTGTGGTCTCCAGGGAGCTTTACAGACAGAATGGGAGTGGTACTTTTATCTTGCCAGATAGGAGGGTCCTGGGGACCTTAGAAGTGGGGATGTTTCCCTCTTGGGTACGACCCAGAGGCCACTTAGAACTGCAATAGCGGACCCTGCAGCCCTGTTCTCCCCACTTTGCCACGCTTCTTGTATAAACAGCCAGGCATGGCCGGGCACTCACAGTTTCATCCGCTTTAGTGGATATCAAACCTTAGAGAGTTGGTTGTTACCCCAGTCGAGCCTGGGGTAACAACGAGCAGGGCTCCAGATGCTTAATAGGCACTCTTTAAATGTGTTTTGAATTAAATGTTGCCAGTTGGAGGTGATTTTAGAGCCAGACCAGATCTTAAATAACTACATCACCCACCTTTTAGTTTTCCAAGATACATAACGTGCAACAGAGTCGTGTAGCTATGAGTTTTCACTCCAATTCTTCTTGTTTCTTGGATTTCCCACATTAGTGGAAAATTGACCTGATTGCCCTGTCACTAGAATCCTTCACTCTTCCTCCTCTTCCTCAGCCTCCCCACTATTACCTGCTCCTCCTCCTCCTTCCTCCTCCTGTGTCCTCCTTCTTCCTCCTTTTCCCCCCTTCCTCCCCATCTCTACACCAATGACTCCCACCAATGGCCTCTGCTGCTTTACTTCGAAACCCTCCCTCCCCTCATGCATCAAAGTAACAAAAAATATTCTGAGGGGGTTCTGGTTGTCTTTTGGGAGATCTTTTACTCTGTTATGTTTGCAGCTTTCACCCTTCCTGACGCCCTTGCTTGGTTTTGCTTCCCAGACCAGGAATCTCACCGTGGACGGACGCTTTGGCGCGTGGTCTCCGTGGACGCCCTGCACGCACACAGACGGCAGCGCCGTGGGATCCTGCCTCTGCCGAGCCCGCGCCTGTGACAGCCCCGCCCCGCAGTGCGGCGGCTGGCAGTGTGAGGGTCCCAGCATGGAGATCGCCAACTGCTCCAGGTGGGACCCTCAGAACCCCCGGTGCACTGCCACCTGTTAGGTTCCCCAGCGGGGTGGGAAATCATTCGTGACACAAACTGGATTTCCTTTGGAACAGAAAGGTGGAAACATGACAAGGAAATTCGCCGCTTAAAAATTGCATGGTCTAGGGAACAAAATTTTAAACTACAAATTAGATGATAGATCTAAACCTATTCATATGTTTGTCATTAGATTAGGAAAAATATTTCGAATTCACACAATATGATTGGCTTATTTGAGGAAAACACCCGTGTTAGTTAAGAACATTTTTCTGGAATATATGCATTAATAGACCCTTACTGGTAGAACATAATACATTAGTTAGGAGATAGGAGAACCCAAGTCTCTGATCAAAAAATCTCTGCTCTGTGGTATGTCTGAACTCAGAACACCCCAACTCAGCTAACGTCAGGCATTTGGGTAACCAGGAGAACAGCTTAAATTGTATAACACTGAGTGAGTTTCCTGTTTCCTATTGTGTTGTTGTTTGTTTGATTTTTTTGTTTCAACTCTATTCAATGTGCTCGTCCTGTGCTCGTGCACCTGTAGTAGGTGACCACAGGGATATATTTTAAGCAAGCATCAGAAAGCTTCAGAAATCAGACTCTTAGCTTCCTCCTCACTTGTTCCTTCATTTGGGGTATTTTTAAGAAGAGTTATCTTCTTTTCATGAGCCTATTTAAAATGCAAAAAATCCTCAGGACAGTGAAATTCAGATCGGGTGATCAAATTGTATGGGAGCCCAGGACGTGAAAGCACCCAGGCTTCACTAGGGGGAAGGGGGGCCAGAAGAGGAAGGTGCAGGTGCAAAGGGCAAACTTTGCCCTCTGCTCACACGCTTCACACCAAAGTGTTGAAAGGAGCAAATCATAGCTACACAGATTAGGTTATCTTGCATTACAGAAGACATGGGTATGTCAGCAGTGTATTATGCACTGCACACTTCCTATAAAACTAAGCAGTTTCCATCGGTGCCTGGCACAAACTTTATAAAAGCTATCAAACTGCTGTTGTTTGAAGGTTATAATAAGTAGCTAATACTCTTTTCTCATATTGTTTGATGGAGAAAAGGCCTATCAAGTGCATTACTGTGACTCGTTTAGTTGGAAAGTCATTCTCTAAGCAGAGCCGCAATACTACAAGTGGTTATTTTAAGATTAGAAAATAAATAGTGAGCCAGTTTTAGTGATGCTTTAAATACATAAGGGGATTGCTTTGTACTGGCAATCATAAAATTGTCCGCTTATGCTTACTGTATGCTGCTCCTTTGGCCACTATCTGCCTCTAAGCAGCATTTACAAGTATGTAACCCCATCCCTATAATGATTACATACATACACAATTGCATTCATTTATCTCCTCATTTATTATATTCCTAGTCCTTATGTATACTTTTATTTATTTTCTGCCCTGTATACATGTTTCATGTATTGTAAATAGAAGATACCATAAAATTCTATGTTTGTTAAGTAGTTTAAGAAATTAAGAATTTCCAAACAATTTTGAAGGCACTCTATTCTGCATCATCTACATTTTTTTTTACATATTAGATAAACTTTAAAAGTAAAAATGTTATTTTATTTGTGCTGAACTTGCTATTTAAGTTTTGGGTGTAATTCAGTGAATAAGTGGGATAAATTTTAAGATTGTAGGTAACAGGGTATAGGATACTAGCTAATTACTTTTATGAGAACATGGGAGGATCTATCTTACTTTATAGTAATTTTGGTTAAATTATCATAAAGCAGCTTTATTATAATATACATAAAGCTATGACTATGTATTTTATTTATATCACTAAGTGTCAGTAAATAAAGTAGGGAAATATGAAGTATACTAAGACTTTTTTCTGGAAGAATTTTTATTTGAAATTATTTTTAAAATTATGTAATCAACTTATTATTTACACTTGGACCTTCAATGGCATAGTTGTGGACCTGCATGTTTTTAAAGGCATGAATAAAGTAAAACTGAGAAGTAATGATATTTTATTTTTTTCCAAAGGAAGTGCAAATAGATCTCTACTAGGTATATGGATGACAGTGATGCATATCCAAAGAGATGTATATGTTTTGGCAGATGTAGAAAAATATTCTACATACAGTAGACCATCTATGTGGAATTTGGAATCTAAATTTAATAAATATCTTAACACATAAAATCTTTAAAAATATCTATAACTTATTTTTTAATAGAAGGGGAAAACTGCTAAGGGAGATATTCAAATTATAAACAATCTGAATATAAGCACTTTAAGGGAAAAATACAATACTAAAAAAATTCTTCTAGCAATCAATAATGGTTTATTTTATAAACCACTTTTCAAAAAATGGTTCATTTTATTTTTATTTTTAATATTTTCATGTATCTACATTATTCTCACTATATAATAACATAAATACTATATTTATATAAAATTTACACTCCTTATACTCTTTATATCTTTTTCAATTTGCAATAAAATAGCCAAGAATTTGAATTTAAATTTCCTTCCCTCATTTTTAATAAAGTTTGTTTTAAAGCTTCCAAGAGTATGCAAACATTACAGCACTCTTTATCAATATGATTGCTGTCAGGAGAGTTAATGATTTTAATAGATTATAAAAGAAAGTGTTATATACAGTTTTAGGTGGTCGTTTTGTTCAAAGGTGCATTTTTTCATAGATGATAAAGGTGAAAAATTATAAAGTCTAGTCTAGAGGTTTAGAGATTCATTTCAAATGCTTTTCAGTGAAAAACATTATTCTTTATTAGTTTAATATTTTCATAACTCAGGTTTCTTAATAGTTTCTAATATAGCCCATGTAAAATTATAGTGCACTTAAAACTTTATCCCCAAATTTCCTATCGTGACTATAAATCGGATGCCTGTGGGCAGGGGGATGACAGTAATTGGGACTCACTGGGCGCAGTGCCTCAGTCCCACCCTGCAACCCCTCTTCCAAGCAGACCCACAGGCATTCATTCGGCAATGGATGCAAGCAGGAGCCGGGGCGACCCAGTGACCCTATTGCCTCCTCTCCCCCAGGAACGGAGGCTGGACCCCCTGGACGTCGTGGTCTCCCTGCAGCACCACCTGTGGGATCGGCTTCCAGGTGCGGCAGCGCTCCTGCAGCAACCCCACGCCCCGGCACGGCGGCCGCGTGTGCGTGGGGCAGAACCGCGAGGAAAGGTAGGTGCCTGCCCTGCACCCAGCGTGGCCACCCTCTCGCTGACTCCCGTTCCAGTGAGGTCTGTTTCCCAGCGGTTGTAGTTGGATCTAGCTCAGCTTATCTGCGGCACCCCTTTCTGTTGAGCTGAGTCTTCCTTTTCTGACATGCTCGACTTTTGAGCAAAGCCCCCCAGTTGACAGCATTGCTGGGCTGCCCTGCTGCCTGCACAGCTGGGTCGACTCAGCTGAGCAATTTCCAGGGCATCAGAGGCCCAGGGACCGCGTGCACCTCTGTGCTGGTCTCCTGCAGAACGACTATTCTCATGGGAATTCAGCTAGGCCAGTTTCAAAAGCTGCAATTCCAAGGAAGACCTATTAAGTTTCCATGTCCAGAAGTTATTGGGCTCATGAGGTAAAGTTTTTGTCTGAACTCAAGTAAGCAGCTGGAGTGCAGGTGAGAACATATCCAGGGTTCCAGTTGTATTGATAACTACTCACTGGTCTATTAATAAATTCCCTCCATGAAGCTGCGGTGCAACCCAATGTGGGAATTCTTTTCCGTATCTGTTTTAAGCGTTTAGCACATCATGGCAACATTTCAGTTTAGTCTTGGATTTAACAATATATTTCTTTGTATAAAATTTGAATTTGATTTTAGCCACAAAATCTGCAGTTGTGATTGTTGAATCTTGCTTGCCTATTGTAGGTATATTCCAGTTTATCACTATTGGGAAAGGCTTCAAGTAGGTGGATTTCACAGCGATTTTAAGATGATTACTCTGCTATAATGACTTAAACGTATTGAATGGCTTTGAATGCCTTTTAATTAAAAGGTAGTCGGCTTTTATTTGGTGACATGAGTTCAGTGGAGCCTCTTATAAAAATACTGTATGTAGGTATTTGCTGTGTGATTAGTATTTATTTAAACAAAACCAACAGACTTACTGCAAGGTAGTTCTCTACTAGGTATTTGTTTTAACCTACAATCATTCCTAAGGGAATCATTCCTTTCTTTCTTCACTGTATTTCTCACTGACCAATTAATAATTCATTCCTTTTGACAAAGAGGGAAATGAAGATGATTTTTACAAAGTAGGGCTTGTCATTTTTTAAGTAGTCCCCTGGGACAGTCTTGTGCAGGCCTGTCATTTTCTATCTGACACCAGTTAGTATGTGGGAAAGCCTATTATAGAAGAATTGTCTCCCTGCTATTTCCAAGCCTTGTATGATTTAAAATCGGTTGGCAGTTTTTAAATGCTATAAATTGTCACTTAGTACAGGTTGACCATCCCTAATTTGAAATCCAAAATGCTATAAAATCAGAAATTTGGGGGCACTGAAATGATGCCAGAAGTGGAAGATTTCACATCTGATCTCACGTGACAGGTTGCAGTCAAAAATGCAGTTAAAACTTTGCTTCGTGTACAAAATTATTAAAAATATCGTATAAAAATTACCTTTAGGCTATCTGTATAAGGTGTATATGAAACATAAATGAATTTTGTTTTTAAACTAGGGTCCCATCCCCAATATATCTCATTACATATATGCCAATATTCAAAAATCTGAAAACATATGAAATTCAAAACATTTCTGGTCCTGAGCATTTCGGATAAGGGATACTCACTCTGTACAATGCATTCGGGCAAAATCACTTCCACATGTGCATAAACTTCCCTAGAATGGAGGAACTGCCACAAGCCTAGCATGTGTTACTACGTTTCCTAGGCCGAGCACACACATATGTGGCTAACGCATGGATGTTTTCTGTGTCCACATGATTTTTCATAAAGCTACATTTTCAGAAAGAGATCGGGGAAAAAAGATGACTCATGTGTTTGAGGGATTACATTTAAAATGTTCCTTTTTGTGCAGAAGAAATGTTCATTTGTAGATTAGCATTTGGAGGAAAATTTGAATTTAAGTAATAAATAGATGGATGGCAAGAACCAGGGACTTTGTAAGATTTTTATGAAATTCAAACCTTCCTATTGAATAGCCTTTCTGGGGGCTACCAGGAGGTTAATGAAAGCTAAAAAAAAACCAAGTACCTGGTGTTTCTTCCTTGCCCATCACAAGCAAAAGGTTCTTAGCTTTCTCTGCTATGTATGTGGAGAGTCTCTCCACCTAAGAGATATAAAAGAAAAAACCATCATGATTCCAACAATGGAGATATTTGAAAACTAAACTCAAGATTAAAGTAGACCATGGTCTTCATATGAGAACACAAAAGACCCAGGGCTGGGCATGTAGAAGCATTAATAAAATTACATCATGCTACTGAAATACCATCACCGCTAAAGATATTTTGAGTGGCCCCAAGTGAATAAATAAATTCTCCCCCAAAGATTCCCTAGTTAGTTACTTCTCATCTGGGACAAAATCTCTAATATGTGGAATAATTAAGCCAGAGCTTTGCTACAACAAAACTCTCAGAAGTATTTCACATTATTTTTTTCTGAAAAAAAATCTAACTTATTTTTTACATGTACTTTAGAACATATAGACACATTTTTCTTGTTCTGAAATTTCCTTGAAAAGGCTTTCTTGAGTATCAGGAACTGAGTGTAAGCACAGATTCCCAAAGAGGCTACCAACAAGGAAGAAGAAACGGACCTCTGTGAATATCAAAATGCAAAGGTTATTATCTGTATTAGTTTCCTCGTGCGGTGCAGCAATAGTTCCACAGCAGGAGAAACACCAAGTGTTTATTGTCTCTCAGTCTCCATGTGTCAGGAGTTCCTACATGGCTTACCTGGGTGCTCTGCTCGGGGCCTCCCCAGGCCTCCGTCAAGGCATCAGTCAGAACTGTCGTCTCCTGTGAGGCTCCACTGGGGAAGGACCCACTTCCAACTTCCAACGCCACATGGCTGTTAGGGTTGCTGTCAGTATTAGTTCACTGCGGGCTGTCAAAACGAGGAGTTCAGTTTCTTACTTAGCTGTTACCTAGAGACCGCCCTCAGTTTCTTGCCAAATGTGTCTGCCCAGCATGGTCACGTGCTTCCTCAAACCCAGCCAGCAAGTCTCCTCACAAGACGGGCATTGTGATCTTATGTAACACAATCACAAGAGCGACATCCCATCACCTTGCCACATTCTGTCCATTGGAGGTAAGACACAGGATCTGTCCACACTTCAGAGGAGGGGATGGCCCAGGGTGTGAAGTCAGGAGGCAGGATCCTTGGGGTCGTCTAAAGTCTGTGTGCTGCATTCGATTCTCTAACCCTAACCCTAACCCATCCCTCCTTCCTCCTCCCATGTGCAAAACGCATTTCACCCACCCCCAAGGTCCCCAAAAGTCTCATTCAATTTAATCATCTCCCCGAAGTCCAGAACCTTATCATGTAAATCAGGCCCAGGTGTGGACCAGGCTCCCTGGGCTGTAGTTCCCATCTGTCAATCTCTAAAAGAAAAGAGAAGAGTTATTGCAGACAACAGACTCAACGTACAATGGTGGGACAGGCCAAGGATGATAGCTGTAGATATTTATGTTCAAAATGCAGGAGGCTGGAAATTACAAAAGACTCACTGCTTCATAGCAATTCTTCAATCTAGCTGGGCAAGTGTTAGGAGTTGTGTGGTTAAGTTTCAGGTCCAGGCGTGATGCTCCAGGGTTCTTGGCTCTGCCTTCTGGGTTCTTAGTTCTGCTTCCTGAATCATCCTTCCTTTCTCTTGAAGGAGGCATGTGCATGCAGCTGGGTGGGCTAATCAGCCTCCCTCCTTCCAGTAGAACGTGGGGCTGCCGGCAGCCTTCTTGCATTTGTACTTTCTCTGCCCCTTTCCGTCCCAGCTGGTGGTATTTTTGTGGAAATAACTGTCTGAAAAACTTTATGGGTCTTCATTGGATTTCCCTGGAATCTGCTCCACTAAACAGAAGCCGCCCTCAATCCTTTTTCAGGTTGCCCTTCTCTCCCTCGGGGTCCTGCTGGGATGGCCGAGGGACACCCTCAAGCTCACTAGAGACCTCTGGAATTACTGAGAAGGACCTATGAGGCACACATTTGCTCTCAAAAGGACCTGTTTTGTGACTAAGTTCTTCTCTGATTCTTTTATCTTCCTGAGATTGTAACAAAAGACTGTACAGTCACACGCTCAGCTTCCTACTGTGTGCCCACCTTCCCCGACAGTGCTTGGCAACGGTTTCTACATGGAATTATGAGAAAGACCATTATTTTCATAGAGACTAGGTTTGTGGAAAAATGGATAATTTATGGAGAAACAATGCTGGGTCATTAATTGGCTTTTAAATTCAAAATGGAAATGAGCAGTCATGGGCAAAATTAAAATCTTAATTTTTTAATGCATCATGAAATGCTTCTGTGTCTTTCAACGCTTTAAGAAACTGGAAACTCAAGAGAGCCAAGAAAATTTCCAAGACATTTAGCTCATTATTCGGCCTAAGTCAGCAGCATGTTGAGGTCTAGAGAAAGGAAGAACCAGCTGCCAGCCCATTGTGTAGATGTGTTATCCACGCATTAATAAAAATCTTAAACAAGCAGAGCTATCAAGGGAACTGACTCCCCAGCCCCACTGTTGTTTGGGTCGGGGGGAGGACACTTTCTCACAATTACAGAGGATCCAGACTTAAGGGCTCGCAAGGGCTTTTCCTCTGAGCAGTCTCTTCCAGAGTGAATTCCTTAGTGAAACCCCAGACATGCAGAGATAGAGCTAGCCCAGCTGTTTCTAGTCCCTCTGACTTGTTAGAGATGCCGCAATTTCCGAGGGTGACACCCTAGCAGATCCTGGTGTGGCTTGTTTCATGGACTACTGTAGAAGAAGAAAGAGGAAAGAAGAAGAAGAAGAAGAAAGAGGAAAGAAGAAGAAGAAGAAAAAAAAAAGGAAGGCAAGTTATTGACAACTTTAAAATGCAGCCAATAGATAATTTATTCCCAGCGACTGGGAGTTCCATGCCACATGCTCAGGTTGGAGTAGATTTTTAACTGTAATAACATGCTGAGCATTTTCACAGGTGGCCTGTTGTAGACAAATGTGAGAAAGTATTTGTGAACCATGATTTCTTT